CTCCAGCAGACCCACATCCCACCCACCCTGGTGTCATCCATGACCTGACTGAGGTGCCCTCGATCCCCTCATCCAGATCATCAATAAAGATGTTAAACAGGGCTGGTCCCAGCTCTGATCCCTGTGTGACCCCACTGGAGCCCATTCCCAGCTGGATGGGACTCCATTCCCCACCTCTCCCTGGGCCCAGGATTATCCCAGCCAGGAACACACTGTCCAGGCCATGGGCTGGACAGGGGGACTTTTCCTTTGAGGGGAAAGTCCTCAGCCTGGTCACTGCAGCTCCCAGAGTTCTGGGTCAGCAGGACAGGTCTCCACTGCGATGTTCTGCTGCACACTTTGGCAAACACAACAGGAAGAAACAGTGGGACAGTTGTAAAATTCTCGGGACCATTTTGCCAGGAATTGCCTGGTTTAATACGTGGGAGACCTTCATTTTGAGCAACATGAGCTGGGAGGATGTTCACAGATCACCAGATCTGATCTCCTCGTGCTGCAGCCGTGCAAACCCTTCATCAATAAATCATAGTGCACTTTAGGGTTTCTTTAGTCTCTGCCAGGTCAGCCGGAAAGCTGTCCCACAAACTCCTTTCTCTGTGGGTTAAACCTCTAATATGATACAGCCTATGCATATTTTAATGTTGGTACGAGAGTAATTCAAATAGATTTTTCACTTTCCTCGTGCCCCTCCTCTCCCCAGTCCCACGGGGGACCTCATTTGTGCTCACTTTGCAGCCCAACCATCCGAGCTCCCTCCTCTCCTGCCGTGCTTCATTTTCCTTGGCTGTCTCCGTGATCCCTGCCCACCTTTGTGTGAGCCTGGAGTTTGTGCCTGTGCCCGTGCCCACATCCAGCATTTATTGCACACCCAGAGCTCTGTTCCCCCCTCCCCGAGGTTTGAACAAAGGGATGGGGAGCCCGGGCAGCAAACAGGGCCCACGGGCTCTGACTGTCTCCTGCCGTTTGCTCAGGGTGGATCCAGCACTCCTGGGCACTGGGAGAGCCATAACTCACTTCCTCTGTTTGCCTCAGCCCAGCCCTAATCTCCCATCCATTAGGAGTTATCTCTGAATAATGAATGGAGAATCCATTAAGGAGGGGAAAGGGCAGCTGGAGGATTTATTTAAAAAGAAAGAAAGGGAGACACTCCTCCGGGTTCTTTGCTTTTTTCCCTCCCCAGCTTTTTTCTGCCATCAGCTGAGCTCCAGTTGCCAGGAAAAGCACTGGAGGAGTTAACCCAGCGAGGTGGTTGTAGGATGTGACAAGCAGGGAGTAGCAGCTCCGTGTTGCCAATGCCAAGTTGTGTCAAACCCACTGGAAATTGTTCCCGTGACGGCTGCTGGATCCTCCGGGAGGGAGGAATCACAGATCCCAAACATTTGGTGGGCTTGGGAAGGCTTTTCCAATGCTGTCCTGCGTGATAGGAGCCAGTGAGAGGGAATGACTTGAGGGAAGGTGCTGGCAAGTGGGTACAGAACTCACAGAGAGAGAAAATAAATGGGATGTGAGGGGAGATCTGTGGAGATGATTGCAGGAGTTTGTCCTGAGTGTGGTGACAGGCAGTGTTTTCTGGAGTCATGGAGTCAGAATGGTTTGTGTTGGAAGGGACATGAAAGATCATCTCATTCCACCCCCTGCCATGGGCAGGGACACCTTCCACCAGCCCAGGTTGCTCCAAGCCCCGTCCAACCTGGCCTTGGACACTTCCAGGGATCCAGGGGCAGCCACAGCTTCTCTGGGCAACCTGTGCCAGGGCCTCCCCACCCTCCCAGGGGAGAGTTCACAGCTGGGAGAAGGGGATGGGTTGTGGTTCTCGGGTTTGGGATCAGCCAGGAAAGGTGAAGTTGTGAGGTGTAAGTCACATCAAGGAGTGGGTTATGGTTTCCATTGCTTCTGGCTGACTGCAGGAATGTCACTGGAAAAGTCCTGTGGAATTCAGAGCAGCCAAAGGCAGAGTCAGAGCTCAGTGTGTGCCACCAGTCCTCACATGGCAGAGCAGTCTGCCTCCTCCTCAGGGCAGGGAGTGGGATGAGGGAAGAGGCCTGTCTGGAGAATATCCCTGTGTGGGGCTGGAGCAGCGCCCTGGACATGCTGGGACAGGGCCAGGCTGGAGGAGCACACAGGGAGGGGCAGGGGAGGCCACCTGAGGCCTCTGGCCACTGAGTGAGGGCTGGGGAAGGTCTCCAGAGCACACGAGGCATCTTTTGGGAGTAGTGTGGGTGTCCCTGGATGTTCTGTGGAGCTGGGAATGGACTGGATTTGCCTCCGAGGCCTCAGCCAGCGATCCAGGCCTCGGCATGGCACGGCCTGTTAGGACATCCCTGAGCAGGGAGTGCTCCAGCTGGGACCTGCCCCTGGTCTTCCTCCTCTGCTCATTGCCCTTCCCTCGGTGTTGGCAGTTCCTGGAGCAGATAAGGGATCAGCTGCCTGTGTGCTGGAACAGCCTCCGGGGTCGGAGCCAGACCGGAGCCGTAACACTCATTGAGGAGAGAATTCAGAGAGCATATCCTGCACCTCAGGAGCTCTCCTCCGTGGCATCTGTGCATCTCGAGGCTTTCCATTTAATCCCCAATTCCAGCTGATCCTTGGCCAGAAATCCAGTGTGTGAACAAATTGAATTGGCAGCTCCATGTCTGAACAGTGTCACTGAGAACTGCCCCTAAACCTGGATCTGTTGGGGTCGTGTCCTCTGAAAGACACTGTGGAACACGAGTTTAACTCCTGGTTCTCCATTTACTGACGTGCAGGTTTGTTTAACCAGACCTCCTCTATCCTGTCAAAGATCCCAGGATGAGGTGGGACAGTCCAGGCTGTCATTAATGCTGCAGGATCAATCTTCAGCTTACAGACATCAACACTTAACGTTACAGCACTTCTCTGTTTAAGTGTCCTACACTTGGATGAACACTTCAGGAAAATATGTCTGTGGGATCAAGTAGAATCTTTATAAAACTGATCCAAGTGCAAATTCCTCTCTGTGTTGAGAGTCAGGAAATGCCTGTGACTGTCTCAGCAGCTGCTGGGCCATCGTGGCAGTGGCACAGTTGGGTTGGGTCATTGTGGGTTGCAGTTCCAGGCTCTTGGAGACCCTTGGGAATGGTGCAGCAGAGCACACCCACTGAGGGATGCCCTGGGCTGCTTTCCTGACGTGGCTGTGCCCGTTTTCCGCAGGGACACGGCGGGGCAGGAGCGGTTCCACACCATCACCACCTCCTACTACAGAGGAGCCATGGGCATCATGCTGGTGTACGACATCACCAACGCCAAGAGCTTCGAGAACATCAGCAAGTGGCTCAGGAACATAGATGAGGTGGGTAACGGGGCTGAGACCCCAGCCGGGGGGGGTGGTGAGCACTGGGCATGGGAGGGGTCCCCCAGAGCTCGGGCTCTGTCTGGCCCTGGCAGAGGATGAACGCTCACCCAGGGCTTGGTGCTGGGCTTCAGGTGTCCTGTGTGCCCCCCAGCTGCCCCTTCAGCACTGCCAGGAGGGGCTGGGACTCTGCACAGGGTGTCCCAAAATACCAGCTTTGCACATGGGCAGACTCTGTGTCTGTGCTGGGGAATGGAGGGAGGGGAGGAGCTCACCTGGAACTGGGAGCAGCAGGTTTGGGAGCAGCTGCCAGCACCAAAGCCCCGAGCTGGAGAGGAGCTGCACAGTGTGTCAGCACTCAGAGTAACTGTTTTCTGAGGGTCACTGTGTAAATCCTCTAAGTATTGTGTATATGTATAACCTCCACTCCCCAAAAGCCGTGTCGTGAGGTATTTGGGAGTTCCCCCTGGCTGCTGCAGGTGCCGTGGCACCTTCTGCTGGGAATGTTTGTGGAGCTGATTATTGCCCTTGGCACAGGAGAACCGGGACAGGGAGGCTGGGAAGTTTCAGGCAAGGTCAAGTGAAGCAGAAGAAGCTGCTGGGGGAGCACGAAGTGCCTGGGTGCCCAAGAGTTCATCCTCCAGGAGCTCTGAGGCGTTTAAGAGGGCGGCACAACTGGTAGTTCTTGCCTTTGTGATGCTGCTCCCAAATGGAATAGGTGTTTGGGTTTTCCTGGGAGGCATGGGGGTGGCCCTGCAGAGCTGGGCACGGCAGATTTGGGCTGGCAGGCACTGCCCAGGGCAGCACTGAGGGCTGGGGAAGGCAGCAGAGCAAACATGGGATGTTGTTGGGATTTGGATTTCCCAGCGTGAAAAATGGGAAACCATCCTGTTTGTGGAAAAGTGCAGCGTGGTGGGAACAGGAGGGGGATAAGGCAGCACAGGAAGAGACTCAGCAATGAGTTGAATGTAAGCTTGGAACTGAGGCCTTTAGATTCTGCAGTGGCTTTGTTAAAAACTTGCTGGTGTCCAGGTGAGTGATGGGCCCCATTCACCCCCTCGGGGCTGAGAAGTGCTTTTGGTGCCCTCTTGTTTTCAGTCTGTGTCACACAAACCTGGGCAGCTGATTTCAGGGGCACTGTGGGGGCTGCTCAGTGACTGTGGCTTTAAAAGGGACGTTTGACACCTCAGGAAGCTTTCTTTTATTGTGGGAGAAGCTCAGTGCTGGAGTGTGTCTGCAGAAAACACGGAGTTGTTTGGGTTGGAAAAGCTCTGAGACCACTGAGTCCAGCCCAGGTCACCCCTGACCTGTGTCCCCAAGTGCCACATCCACAGGGCTTTCAAATCCCTGCGGGGATGGGGACTCCACCCCTGCCCTGGGCAGCTGTGCCAGGGCTGGGCAGCCCTTTCTGGGAAGAAATTATTCCCAGGCCTTTTCCAGCTTTCCAGCTCCTCTGTCCCCAGCCTGGAGCATTCCATGGGGTTGTGGTGACCCAGGGGCAGGACCTGGCACTTGGCCTGGTTGTCCCTCACACCAGTGACCTCAGCCCATGGATCCAGCCTGGCCAGACCCCTCTGCAGGCCCTTCCTGCCCTCCAGCAGACCCACATCCCACCCACCCTGGTGTCATCCACCACCTGACTGAGGTGCCCTCGACCCCCTCGTCCAGATCATCAATGAAGGTGTTAAACAGGGCTGGTCCCAGCTCTGATCCCTGTGTGACCCCACTGGAGCCCATTCCCAGCTGGATGGGACTCCATTCCCTGGGCCATCAGCCAGGTTTATCCCGGTGAGAGCACACCTGTCCAGGCCATGAGCAGCCAGTTTCTCCAGGAGAATGCCATGGGAAATGGTGTCAGGGCCTTCTTTGAAGTCCTGGCAGCTGCATCCACAGCCTTTCCCTGATCCATAGGAGGAGATCAGGTTGGTCAGGCAGGACCTGTCACAAAGCCAGGCTGGCTGGGCCTGAGCCCTGTTTGTCCCGTGTGTGCCGTGTGATCACACTCAGGGTGATCAGGATGACAGGCCTGGAGTTCCCTGGATCCTCCTTCCAGCCCTTCTTGGAGATGGGCATCACACTGGCACCTCCAGGTGTGTGGGACCACCCTGGTTAGCCAGGTCTGGTGAGAAATGATCCATATCCCCCTGCCAGGGGCTGAATCCTGGATTCCTCATCCCTGCCCAGGCCGACCCTGTGTCCTCCTGCCCTCACACCAACCCCTCACCTCCCTCTTTCCCTTTGCTGACCCCTCATCCACTCTCTGGCTTTCCAAACCTGTTCTCCTTCTCTCCCACATTTCTCTCTGGGTCTTGCCTCCCTGTTTTCCTCCCCAGTCCCTCTTCCTCCCCTGGCTCACCCTTCTCATTGCGGAGCAGCAAAATGGGGAGGAGAAAACACTTAACCAGCCCTAGGAGGTAATTAAGAGGCTGGGTTTTAGTTACAGCTTCTAACCAGTGCACAGAGCTCAATTTTGGCAGCTGTAGATGTCACAAATCCAAGCTGTGGGTGTTGGCCTGGCCACAGCAGAGTGGGGCCAGGTGTTTGGTGCTGGCTGGG